CACCAGGAGATGCACTCCTTGGCTAGAGATGAATTAGGAACGGCTTAAGGACTCTGATCGATGTGAAGCAGCTTTGAGAAACAGCACATCAAACAGAAGTGTTTTATAAGAAAGTACAGGATACATATGCATTTTGGATAACGTTGTACAGAAACTCATTAAAAACCCAGTACTGGAAATGCAGGGAGTGCACAGCAAATAGGAGTGTGAACACAACCCTATCTTACACAGGAGAGAGCAGGGGCCATGAAGTAGCCCATCAACAGTCATGCCATCCCTGCTATGGTGAGCAGTATTTCTATGCATAAGCAATTTTTATGCTGATCTGTGTCTTCTTTTGTCTCCCCCCCACCCCTGCATATCTTTTTTTTAACTAACTCATAGGGAGCTACCCAAGTACAGTCTTGCCCACACTGGAGTTTCTCTACATTATCTACCCATTGATGTTGTGGTTGTTGTGGTCGTTTTTAAGAAAGTATCCTGCTCACATCTGAGAACTAGCATTGTTAGAGAACTTGGGAAACTGGTCATAGAATTGCAGAGTTGGAAGGGGCCATGAGGATCATTGAAATTCTTACCAACAGAACCATCCTGTTCCTTTTGCTAATTGGCTGAGGTAGCCATGTACATTTTCCCAGATCATTCCCTGTCTACAAGCTTCTATTGATGTCAGCCACAATGTCAAAGTGTTTCCAAGTTCCAGAAATGAAATACAATGGAAATCACACTATTTATGCAGTAAGCCAAACATAAAACAGAGAGTGTATTCATTCCAGGCAGTCCTCACTGGACTGTGAGCTGACAAGTGACTAACACTGTAATGATTCTTGAGCCAGTCTTATCAGCTGTTGGATCACAATGATGAAGAGGAAATGGCCAGGCTTTCAAAGATGTTTAATGAGCTGTGGGGCTTCTGTCAACTAAGGTGCATTCCAGGCACTGCAAGGAAACACCAGTTGTTCCTCTTACACACTGCTTCAATTCAGCCAGCAGTTGAGGTTATTGCATTGACCACCACAAATACAATGTAGCATGGGGGAGGGGGGACTCATGTAGCCTCTTTTTCTGAGGGGACAGTAAAATATGTTAGGCTTTATTAACAGTAACCCTTCTAGAAGGGGATTGTAAGAAAAACACTGGGGCCTAATTTGAATAATAGAGTGCCTGGTCTCTGGTGGGCAATCTCCTCCTTTATTTCCACGCTGTGGCTGCAGACCAAATCACCTGTCAGGAGAACTATGAGATTCAGGTGAGGGTTAAATGCCTTGTCAATCCCAGCAGGTATATAACAGGAAGACCAGCCTGCCCAGCATTACAGCTTCATTTTCCTAAGAAATAATGCTTATTCTACAAAATGTTTCCAATTTCAGTTATTACAAAAGTTTTTGAGTGTTAATTTTATGCATTTTTTGAAATCACAATGGTATTTAACATCTTATGTCCTTTAGAGGAGAAATTGTGAAATGCAGATTTTTAAATTCCCGTCATCATCCTTGGCTTCCCTCAATTTTGTTTATAACACACTTCCATTTTCTTCTATTCGTGAGGGTGGGGGATGGGTAAGGGCCTCACAAGTGGAATAGCCTAGGGCCTCTCTTCATCTAAATCTGGCCCTGTGTATGAGGTGGCTGAGGCTTTCTTGCCATGCTTTTTGGAGCAGGTCTGGAGCAACATAACCATGTATTGTGTTGCATCACTCTGAAGACCTAGGATGTGTAGGCACCAGTAGAGGGAGTGGGTAGAGCCCAGAGAGGCTCACACCACTGTGAGGGATGTGAGCTCCTTTCTATTTTAAAGTTGTTGTTTTTAAAAAGAAAAGAAAAATGCAGAGTGGTTGGGTGTGTGCATGCTGAAAGGCACGTGGTCCACGACGACCCACTCCCCCCAAAAAAGCCTGGTAGAGCCTCTGGGAATCTTAAACACACTCACCTGGGATCAACTCACCTCACTGAATACAGTGTAACTTACTTCCAAGTAAACATATATATACTGCATTGCTGAGATTCTCATTTTCAATTAGAGAATGCTTGTAAAGTACTGGGCTTCACACCACATAGCATAGAAAGTGTAACTGAACACGGAAGAAGTTTTGGGTGGAAAGGAAACACAAATCAAGGGCAGGCTAGACCTTAGACTTTGCTGCTCACTCAACTCAAACAAAATAACTGCTGTGGAACAGCTGAGCAAACCTTATATAGCAAGCCTCATATGGTTCACAGCATTGTTTCTTGTTAACTTGAAATGGAATGTTGTGTCACGGAGGAGAATGTCCACACAAGTCTAAAACACGACCAAGAGCCAACTGCTGCTCATCCGGTATTTTATGAAGGTGGGTCCAAGTCAAATCATTTCATAAATGAATTTGACAATTTATCTACCCAGAAGTATAACAGAGAAGAACAGAGCTGCAGAGGCAAAGTACACACACACACACAGAGAGAGAGAGAGAGAGAGAGAGAGAGAGAGAGAGAGAAGCAGATGCTGAAATATCTCCCATTGAAACAGATAGCAGCTGTTAAACCATCTTAAGTGCTTCCGTGGGAGATTGATGCCCCAATGTCTTTGTTTTCCAAATAAAAGATACAAACTTTGGGAGATATCCAGTTTAGAAGAACAAGTCTGCAAATGGATAAAATTGTGATTGGTGCCCATTTATCACTGAGTAAAACAAGATCTGCAAATAGACAGGTTTTCAGTGGAAATTCCGTTAAGATCCCGGGCTCAGTATATTACAAAAGCATATCTTTACCAGCCTTTGCAAACTTGGTGCCTTCCAAATGTTTTGAACTACAATTCCCATTAGCTCCAGTCAGCACTGCTGCCCTGAGACTGATAGGAGTTGTAGTCTAAAACACATGGAAGGCACAAGGTTGGCAAAAGCTTGTGCATACTGCATAACTTTTCTTACCTGTTGTCTTTCTATTCCAAAAGAGACATTCCTTTCCTTTTGAGACAGATTAAGATGTCAAAAAAGCCAACTGGTTGAAAAGGTCATTTGACTACCCTACCCTACCCTACCCTACCCTACGACGACGACGACAACAACAACCTACCCTACCCCACCCCATTTTCTTGCTAATTCACTGTATTCTCTGCATTTCCAAGTGCTTTGACTTTAGCTATCAAGATGGGACAGTTCAGAGATTTCCAACAGTGCAAGAGTTCAAGGACCAGCAAGCACAGCAGTCTGACATTTATGGAGGCCTTTGCACTTTGGCAAACTCTTCTGCAGCCCTCTTCTGCTTTACGATGGAAAACACGGACTTTAGTCATGGGGTAAAGAAACACACTAAGAGAGGGAGCCTGATGCACATGGGAAATCTATGCTATTTGAATGTTGGGCTAATTCTCCATAATTCCCAAGTCAGAGATAGAGCTTTTTTTCACTGGAGGGCTCTCTGGTGGGTGCCATTGCAGGCTGGTGCTCCTCTCCCCCCCACCCAACAGCTTTTGCTTGTGTTTGCATACTTCTGAGAAGCCCAAAACGAATATTTCAAGTCAAAATGGAAGCTGGCCAGCATGTGTGAGTCTACACTGTTTTTTAGACCTAGCTCTTAGCCGCTCCTAGTCACAATTGGTCATGCTACAAAGTGGGGGCAATTCATATTTCCTTTTCTTCAATCCTTCCTGTGTAGCGGTGGTGGGCTTTAAGCTTTCCAGCCAGGTCTCTACCATTGCACACACACACACGTTTGCACAACGGCCCTTCAGAACTGTCCTAGCCACCTACCTGAATCTAAGAAAACAAGGGAAGCAGGGGCACATTGATTTGACCTGGATCAGAACCAGGGGCAACCCCCAAACCAGCTAGGGCAGCATGGCCAAATTTGGCCCTCCAGCTGTTTTGGGACTACAATTCCCATCATCCCTGACCACTGGTCCTGTTAGCTAGGGATGATGGGAGTTGTAGTCCCAAAACAGCTGGAGGGCCAAGTATGGTCATGCCAGAGCTAGGGAGACAGCTTGCTATAGTTTTTAGCACCTCTGTGAGTGGCTGTGAATGAGGTTGTTGTCAAAGCAGCATCTGTTCAGCGTTGTTGAAGAAAGAAGGTCTTCAGTTGGTGATGAAACCAAACTAGAGGTGGCATGTGGCTGATATGTCATGGGAGAGAGTTCAAAAGGGTAGGTCATATAACACAACATTTGACTGGCTCAAGACAATTCCTCAGGTTTTGAATACTCAGGTTACTGCTCCTGGGAAATGTCATAATTTTCTCTCTGTGGTTTCCTTCCCTAATTCAAGAGGCTTCACAATGCTGCTGAATGTAAACACCATCAAGACACATAGCTAGCAAACTAGGCTCTTGCCAGATGGTGTCTGAAGACTTTTAAAGTTAACCGTTAACCTTTTAAATATAAGTCTACAAAAGAATTTCCGTGTTTTGCTCTGACTCATTTTTAGAGTTTGTTTCTTCTTTCCCTCTGCCCGCTTTTCTTTTCAGGAACAGCTCTTTTGCCTTTAACAGCTGCCTCACAGATGGAAAACCAACAGGTGAGCCTTCTGCCTCTTCTGTGGCTGACAAGCCCACTCACAGTTCATTATGGGACTGGGTGGGACCATGCTTATTTCGTCAGCCTCAACTTCTGTTATATAACATGGAAAACCTTCATCCTCTAGATCAGAGCTTTCCAAAGTGTGTGTCGTGATATATTAATATGTCAGCTGCGGTGTGTAAGTGTGTTGCGCAAATGCTCCCTGCGCTCCTCCTGGGGCTGGAAAGGGGTTAGCTTAACCTCTAGTTTGCTAATAAAACTGAATTACTGTGTCACAAAATGACGCATGTCTAAAAAGTGTGTCACCAACATGAAAAGTCTGGAAAGCTCTGCTCTAAAGTGAGCCAATGAACAAAAATATCAACCAACAACACTAAAGGATAACTTACACAAACAAAAACAGAGTGTCACTGTCACATCACAGTTATTACAGAAGGGTGTAAGGCATTTGCTGGTAATCACATACATAGCTCCAAGGCAGACATAAACACAAACGCCAAATTTACTTAGTGAAACATAACTGCAGATTCATTTAGACATATTCAAATATTTAAGAAAAAGCAAGCTGCTGCTTTTTGCCTTTGACGCTCATGCAGGAGTGTGTCAGACCTGTTTAGTCTGACAACTAAGTAAAGGTAAGGGGGGATACATTCCGGACCAGGCCCCTCCTCTACTGTATTTCTTCTGATTAATGTTTGGTAGAGACGTCAGCCATCTTGCTCATCATTCCCATGTTTTCACTCCAACTCATTTGCTGTCACCTGCAGGGAGTCAAAATGTGGATGTGACAATGTGTCACATCACACACTTCTTTTATCAAAGCTTACTTGGCATGAGGTGTATGATGCTGGTCGGCGGCACCTACACATCGCCTTCAATTTGTGCTTAGTTCCCTGTTTCCCAATGCTGGTTGCTCTGCTTCAGAATAAAAAAATGTAAACATGAAGTTTAACTAGATATGTAAAGCTTAATTAATCCACTTGCATGGAAAGGGTGGACATCAGGATAAACAAAGAGAGTTAGACCCATAAAAGACAAGGGATAGAAGCTGTGATCTATGAAGCTCTGTGAATTAAGTACAAAACAAACAACAGTTTGTTTGCACTTCTAGTTTGCAGTTGCACAAGCAGCTGTGCATTTGCGTGCCTTAAAGATTAAATTAAGACCAGAATTAGGTCACGCACGCACACCACTACTCATTTAAAGCACATTTAAACACAAGGCTTCCCCCAAGGAATCCTGGGAACTGTAGTTTATTAAGGGTGCAGGGAATTGTATCTTTGGGTGATTATCTACAGTTTAAATGAAGAGTGTGCACACTGGATCAGAAGGCTCAGAGCACCCTGAGCAAATGAATTCCCTTCTAGTGGATCAGGACTCCTCAACAAGTGACCTGCCACACCAAGCCAAAGACAGTCCACCAAGCAAGTGCTTGACAACAGGGGCAATGTTATGAGAGTGGTCCATGGTCATGAACTGCAGACCTTTGGTACTAGGCCCTGGGATCTCCTGCAACTAGCCCTCTATTTTTAAACTTTTCAAAAAAGAAACCACAACCAGCCACCCTCTTAATTTGATCAGAGACCTAAATGTTCATTTGTACATATAAATGGGTACCTAAAAACACCCCTGCTTGCTGATCCACTTGTTTTTGCAGTTCCGGGCAGACAGGAGTACCAGGTACTTTATCAAGTCCTTGGTGAACCACAATACATGCCTCAAGTGGTGTGCTCAACTTGGCCAGTCACAAATTGGGCAGGTCTGCTGTAGATGTGCTAGTTGTAAACTGAGACTTCAACACAAATATTTCATGAAATAGATTATTTGCTCTAAGTCATCGTATCTGATGAAGAAAACAGCAGTGATTAAGAATTCTATATGAAGATTTAAAGAATGAATGTCACTAAATGAGGCTTCTGTGCTGCCTAAACAAAGGCACAGTGTCTTAAATGATTTACGGTGGAGTAGCAATAAATATTTCTTCATTTCCATTTTATGCACCAAGAATAAACAACGGATCTGTTTATTTATTCCACCTAGTATGCGATCCAGGTTTTCCATGAGAGACAAGCCAGAAGGCTCTATTGTCAATGCTTTTCTCTGTTTCTATTTGGAATAGTAACACCAAACCAGGTTAACGGCTAGAAACTATTGTCGTTCCTTGATGACTGGAATATGGAGGTAAAGGTCCAAAACAGCTTTTTAAAAAGGAAATGCAGATTGCTTCATTAAAAAAGCAAAACTCTTTTTATATTCCCACATTGGGAATATCATGATATAGGAGGTTGACTATTATGTTGAGTATTAAGCTCCCACCAGCACACTAAAGCAATATGTTTTACCTGTAGAATATTGGCCCTCCTGGTTTGCCATATCAGATAGTGCAGGAAGTTCAGGCCTTAGGCACTGTGCTTTCAGTTAGTTGGCTAGAGGGATTTTTCTCTGTGAGTCTCTTGTCTTCCTATAGACATAAAAATGTAAGGATGTCATCGCACAACCCCCATTGGAGGATTCATAGTGCTGCATCACAATCCTGGATTTGCATGAAGGCAGTGGGAGAAGACGAAAAATGGAGAAGTCAGGCTTTTAAATGGTGGCTGAAAGCAATAGCAGAAGTTTGAACAAAACAGAGGTTTGAATAAAAGAATCTGAGAAAAACTGGGGATTCTAAAAAATGGCAGAGTCATGAGTAGAATGAAGGCAGAGTTCATCATGTAGTACAAAATGTCATTGCTACGGCAGTGGCACTGCTTTCACTAACAGCTGATATTAAAAATAATAACAAAATTATGTACCTTATCAGGTTAGGCAGAAATCAATTCCTAACCGTGTCTACTCAACAATAAGTCCCATTTACTCCGAAGTAAATCAGGTTAGGATTCCACCCTTGCTGCTTTGTTGCTTTTTTACTTCCACTAAGTAAATATCACAGAAAAATTCAGCCATCTCTTCTCTCCAATCCTCCCTGCCATTTTATTGTTTAATTTGGAGACCAAATTGAGAAAACTTTTTTTAAAAATGTGCATGTAATTTAAAAGGGACAGGAGCAGAAATTGCTCTGTTGGTATTGTGCAGAGATGAGAACAAAGACACTGCAAGACAAACTACAAAACCCTAGGCGGGGCATGCAAGTGGTTACTTGGTGTTGGTGGGCCATGACTAATAGTGGCAGAACCAGTAGCAGAAGTCCATTGTGCCGGGAGTTCTTGCAATGCAGCTGGGCAAATCAAAGTCAATGACATCATTTTCTCAAAATGCAAGAGCGGGCTGCAGTGAAGCACATTTTATGAGCTGTGAATCAAAATGAACCGAGTTTATGCAAGGACACCACAAGGAAAAAAAGAACCAACCAATACATGCCTGCAACCCCCCACTCTAGCCATAGGTGCTGGAAACTGGGACCTTCTGCATGCAAAGCAGATGTTCTACCACTGAGCGATGGCTCTTCTGCACTACTGAGTGAAACCCTGGATTTCTGCCCTATAGGTCCCACCCTGATAGCACCTCAGTGCTTCAGAGGAGGAGTCAGGGGGGAAGCAACAAACCAAATGCAAACGGGATGGGCAGACATGACACTTGGGATTCACAACTGAGGAAGCAGGAGAGAAATTACAAGGATGGGTTTCATTTAACAATTAAAACTTTCTCTTAATTTCCAATTCAAATTTGCTACTCAATTTGAATATCCAACCATTTGAAGCACCTGACTGGCGTAAACTTGCAATCTAATCTCTTTTGCCTTTTGGCTGACTAGGAGTGGGGAAATTGACTCTCTTACCAGATGGGAGATTCTGTTATGACATTTCCCTCTCAAAAGCAGTGTGAGAGCAGATTACTCACAGCAAGGAGATTTATAAGCAAGGAGTGCCTATGGGCACATCATGTTTTGGAAATAAACATGTATTTATTATTACATACAGAACCTCTTAGAAGATGAGATCATCTTGTAAGTCTTTGTGGTGGTGTCAGAAGTACTCGGCTTCCTCCCGGTATCAGCAGAATTGGCCCGACATAAAAGCCAGAGATGGATGACTAGCTAGCACCACTTCAGGCTCTTCTCACCCACTCACAAGAGAGAATATTTCTGCTTATTAAAAGATAAAGCAGCACCAGCAGCCAAGGGGAATTAGAATATCAAGCCACAGATCAGGAAAAACAAATATGTATTAGATGGTGTGATAAGAGCTGAATCAAGGACTTTTCTGTGCAAGGGCTGGTGATTATGTCAGCCCATGTTCAAGTGGATATTTAGAATTGCTTTGCATGTTGGAAAGTAAAGGCAAAAGAAAATGTGTGAATGACTCAAGGGAAAGAGGGAATTGTGAGTTATTCACACATCTGAATCTTACATATCTTGGCACATAGCTGAGATATCCCCATCAGCAGTCTAGAACAAAGGGTGAAAAAGCAAATTCACTCCGGCATCCCATATTAATGCTAATGTTAGTACTTGTCCAGAGTTTTCCTGAAAATCTTCTCCTTGGCCAGTTTGGCACAGGCTTTAAAACTTTATGTTCTGTGACATTTTCTACTTTCTATATATGTTTTGCTAATAACCTGTCCTATGATTTATTCCGTGATTTATCCTGCTTGATAGAGCTTGAGACTCTTAATCTCAGGGTTGTGGGTTCAAATGCCACGTTGGGCAAAAAGATTCCTGCATTGCAGGAGGTTGGACTAGATGACCTGTGTGGTCCCTTCCAGCTCTACAGTTCTATGGTTCTTTTTGTCATCTGGGAAACCTCCAAGATCAGTCCGTTGTGTGCAGGGATGAAGAAGGAATCTGACTCAGTTTGCATTCCAAGGCAAACCTACTGAATTCACACTTTCCAAATCCACACACAAATGGAAACATAGCCATCCTTTCGCACTTCTCCAAATGTGGCAGTTCAGGTCTCCAGCCAAGTAACATGTACAAAAATGCATACAGTGGTAGCTCGAGTTACAGACGCTTCAGGTTACAGACTCCGCTAACCCAGAAATAGTACCTCGGGTTAAGAACTTTGCTTCAGGGTGAGAACAGAAATCGTGCTCCGGCAGCACGGTGGCAGCAGGAGGCCCCATTAGCTAAAGTGGTGCTTCAGGTTAAGAACAGTTTCAGGTTAAGAACAGACCTCCAGAACGAATTAAGTTCTTAACCAGAGGTACCACTGTATTCTAGGGTAAAGTGTACATTAGAATGCATACATTAGTGAAAATAACATGCTAAGGTCCATTCCGCTGGGGGAAACTGCTCTGCAAAGTGAAAGCATATATTATACAAAATTGCATAGAAGAACTGTGCATATTAGAAGAAATTGACACTAAAACGGTGAATTTTCATGAGGGTTTTGTAAAAATAATAATAGTTGCAAGCTGGTGTGGAAATGTGGCAGACTGAGTTTAAGACAGAAAAACTGAACTGAAGACTGGAGAAAGATGAGAGAAACCGAAACTGACAGGTTCACTCATCCCTCGTTGTGTGCAGCAAGGTTTTCCATGGAGATATGCCAGGTCCCGGAGTGTGGACTGCCAAAATCCTCGTTTGCAAAAGTCTACATTTGGAGCACATTCATGCAAAGCCTCTGCCATCCTCCCTGGTTGGAAGGAAAGAGAATCCCGTTTTCTCTCTCTTGCACGCACTCAGTGTACAAAGCACCAATTGAATATCAAAGTCAAAAAGCCAGGTCAAGATTAGTAGTCTCCCAGACCTTTGTCCCCTATAAGCTTTTCTTTGCTCAACTGGAACAGCCACCCAGATTCCGCCAAAACCAATATTTTGGAGGTCAGTCGAACAATACACACTTTCATTTTGCTCTGCCTTTGCTTGCTGTCTGCTGTGTTACTGTTTCATGCTTGAGCCTCCTTATCTGTCTCAGGGGTCTAAGATTTCTCAACAGTATGTTTCACAAAGATTTTTCTCCTTCTGGTAATGAAGGAGAAAAAGGAGGAACAGCAGGCTTATAACAAGGATGGAAGGGTACAAGGAAGGACTATGTAGTTAGAAATGTACAAAAGACAGCAGATCTACTCAACTAGAACCAGCTGCCATGTGATTTCTTCCTTCCAAGAACTGTCCTTCAGACAATTTACCTGGTGATGTGTATAACAATGATTAGGGTCCTCGACAGTCCATTTCATTCTGCCCCCTGGTTTTGCTCCCTCTCCAACATTCAGAAATCTTTCCAGGCATATCCGCAATTGAGCAACCTTTCGGCTTTGGCCCAGCCGCTTCATCAGCTCTGAATCTAGTTGTACTTGTCCTCCGCTCTTCCTCAGTAGCATGTTGGATGCCTTCTGACCTGAGGGGCTCATCTTCCAGCGTCATAACTTTTATATGCCTGTTGTCTTTGTCCATGGAGTTTTCTTGGCAGGGGTACTGGAGTGGCTTGCCAGTTCCTACTCCAGGTGGATCATGTTTGGTCAAAACTCTCCACTATGACTTGTCCATCTTGGGTGGCCCTGCACGGCATAGCTCATAGTTTCTCTGAGTTATTTAGGGGCCCAGCCTCTTTTGCAAGGCCCTGTGGCTTTGGCTACAAAAACCTGAGCACAGGAAGACTCAAATAAATATGGGGGGTGGGGGGGAGAGATGCAGAGTGGAGAAAGCAGCAGCATTTAAGAGCTAGTGCCTACTTTTACTTATGTCCCTCTTCCTTTCTATCCTCTTAAATTATAAGCCATCTAGACAACGTTACTGGCCTTTTCAAATGATGTTGTGGGTATATTGAGTTTTTGCCTTTATATCCCGGCTGAAAGTCTCTGGAGACTCATCCATTCTTCTGCTATGGACTTAAGATGCTTGTAACAGCTGCCATTTATTATGTCTTTCCTGTCCCTTGAAAGATGCCTGCCTGTTTGGGACTTAATCTTCCAATTACATGAGGCTTAGCCGAGATCCATTCTAGGGGATCCAAACATCTCTCCTTTAGATAAAATAAATAATGGAGGGAAATTACATTTCCACCTCAGCACTGAAATAGCAGTGTTTTTCGCCTGCAAAATTGCAATTCTCTTCTATCTAGCACTTCATTTGGAACTGTAAATGCTGTTTGGAAAAGCATTTACACAATTGGTAGGGAAACCTATTGGAAATCACTCACAGCATCTCCGCCTATGAGTGGTGTAAATCTTTCCCCAACACCTGCATGATTGTGTGGGCCTTTAATGCATGTAAAAATAGATATTGACTTTAAAAGCAGAGGGTCCAAGTGCTGTATCAGATGCATGAGATCGTTTATCTAATTATGGTTTTAAATATTGTGAACACAGGCAAAACTACCTTGCTCACACCAGCTCCAGCCATTCCGTGGACTTCCCCTTCCTCTTTTTTCACTCTTTGGTTTTTAGAAAGCTGTAAACTCTTTCACTTCCTTGCTTCTGACAGCAAAGGAAGTTGACAAAATTATGCAAGAAAAAGTTTCCCACCTGCACCCTCTAAATTCAACATCCTAACATACTATCTCTTGTGTGTTGTCCTTTCTCCAAAGATCAGAAAGACTTGTTGTTTGTCTTTTACAAGCCTCTGGATGTCCATACTTTCTGGACTTAACCTATAAATAGCATTGGAATTGCTTCCTGCAGGCGTGACATTTATCTATCAGAGAAAGTGTATACAATTTCTATGCTGGACTTGGATTCTTAAATTAGCCCAGCCAAGAAAAAAAAGTGCAAAGTTATATAACCAAAGAGGCAGTCACTTTACTCCAGGGGGAGACACAAAAATGGGTGTTGTTGTATGATTTTGTCAGTGTTGTGCAAGATAAGAAGCATCAACCTGAATCAAGTAATTGTTTTCAGATCACTTCAAACCAGTGTTTCCAATCTCATTTCCTCCAGAGAAGTTAGTTGGTGTCTCCCAGGCATAGTTCACATAGAGAACAAATATAGGGAACAAAACCAAATACCACCCTTCAATTCAACATGCCAGCACTTCTCAAGAAAAAAAAAAGGAGAGGGTAGTTGATGGCTGGGGCTGATGAGATTGTAGACCCAAACATCTGGAGGACAAGGCTGGTCACATTGGCCTCAAATGGAAGCTCCCCCAGTTAGGAAGTGGGGAAGGCAGACACAAAGGGTGGAATTCAACATCACACCATTTCCAACATTCTGTTGGTATCAGCGTTTCGGCTTGCTAGATGGAACATTTGTTCTTCCCTCCCATGTCTGCTGCTCCTTGGTTTGCCCACCCCACCCTGAGCCAATTTCCAGTGTGTGCAGTGGGGACACGTGAAAAAGCCCTCTTGCACAATGCAAGCCCTGCCAATTTGCTACATGGGGGCTGGCAGGCAGATGTTGGGTGACAATATGCAGTCAACCTGGATCTAATACATACCAGTGGCTATTTTACTGATATTAGAAGAAATCATGTTTTAGGAGATGTCCTCCAAAAACTGGGTCAAAGCAAGCATCTGCTTTTAAAAAAATGCACTGCTGGATTATTATTATTATTATCAAAAAAAATATTGATTTTCCTAATTTATAACAAACATAAACAAACAAACAAACATAAATCCTAACTACCGTATTTTTCGCACCATAACACTCACTTTTTTCCTCCTAGAAAGTAGGGGAAAATGTCTGTGTGTGTTATGGAGCAAATGCCTACGGATGGCGGGGGGGTCTGCTGCAGTCGTGAGCAGAGGATCCATGGTTCCCCTTCCTTCCCTCCTCCGTGGCTCGCTTTGAAACAGCAAAGCAGGAGAAGAGCCGCTGAGTGAGGAGGAGAGAGAGACAGAGAGCCTGCTTGCTTTAAAGGAGCAAAGCGGGAGAGGAGAGAAGAGGAGCCGCTTACACGAGTGTAAGCAGCTCCTGTCCGGTTGGCTCCTCTAAAGCAAGCAGGCTCTCTGTCTCTCTCTCCTCCCCACTCGCTAAATAGCAGCAAAGATTTTTCAAGCAGGCTCTCTGTCTCTCTCTTCTCCCCACTCGCTAAATAGCAGCAAAGATTTTTCAAGCAGGCTCTCTGTCTCTCTCTCCTCCCCACTCACTAAATAGCAGCAATGTTTTTTCAAGCAGGCTCTCTGTCTCTCTCTCCTCCCCATTCACTAAATAGCAGCAAAGTTTTTTCAAGCAGGCTCTCTGTCTCTCTCTCCTCCCCACTCGCTAAATAGCAGCAAAGTTTTTCGCAAGCAGGCTCTCTGTCTCTCTCTCTCCTCCCCACTCGCTAAATAGCAGCAAAGTTTTTTGCAAGCAGGCTCTCTGTCTCTCTCTCCTCCCCACTCCTCTTATAAGAGCCTTCTCCTCTTATACCCCTCTTCTGCATTATTAACAGCATCCTTCTCCACCCACCCCACGCGTGTTCCTTGTCCCTTGAGTGCTTTTCCCACTTAAAACATGGTTACAAAGCACGGATCCAAACGGATCCTCAGGATTTTTGCACTGGGTCACCCCAAATTCACCATCAGATCACATAGCATGTCCATGGCCACAGCTTGCACCAAAAAAATCACGCACCCACTGTTGCCTGGGGCCGCAGTAGTGCAAAAACGTGGTTACAAAGCACGGATCCACATGGATCCTCAGGATTTTTGCATTGGGCTACCCCAAACTCACCGTCAGATCACATGTCTGTGGCCACAGCATGAACCACAAAAATCATATATCCACTGTTTCGTTTAGAATATTTTTTTTCTTGTTTTCCTCCTCTAAAAACTATGTGCGTGTTATGGTT